GATAAGCGCTAATGCGCGCAACAGAAAGCTGCTGCGCTAAGTGCTTATCAACGCTTAACAACAAGCAACCCTATGTATATAGTTTAAGATCCTAACTTTACTTAGAAGTTATAATTAATAGTTAGTTTATTTTTTATATAGACTAAGTAGCATTACTACCTTTTAATAAGAAGTAATTTAATTGTATATCTTACACTATATATACCTTCTCTCTTATTCTACTAAAGGAACTGTTTAACCTAAGCGCCTTATACTGCTGTTGTAGGGCAAACTACAGTTAGCTGCCTCTCCTTGTCCTAGTAACTGCGTCTTAACAGACTGTACACCCGCTTTAGGCTAAGTTCTCTTCCCTTCCGCCCACCTAATATCCTTATTAGCCTAGAGTTCTTTAGACCCTATTTCTTTAGAGTTAAGACTGTAACATTAATTACTACCCTCTAACAAAGTATAAATCCTTACACTACCTCTACTAACTTAGAGATAGCTAGCGCTTTACTAGCAGGCACTAGTAAAATTCTAACCTAAAATAAAGAAGCAATAATAAAACTACTAAACAACATAAAAAACAAGATTGCTAAACTAAAACAACTATTAGCCTAAGCATTAAACTATAGACTAACAACAGTAAATGCTTAAATTTAGAATCTCTAACTTAAAGTATTAAACCTAAGAAACGCAGCCTAAAAGAAATTAAGTGTAGACTTAAAAAAGATGTTAAGACTTACACTCTTTAAGGCCTTTACTAGAAGCGTAAAGGATCTTAAACTACTCTTTACATAATACCACCTTTACATGTAGTATAATAAGAGCGCTTTTTAAACCTATAAAAAGATAATCTCTTAGATAAGGCTTTACCTAGAAGGTCCTCTAGCTATTTAGTTCTAACCCTACACAGACAGCTAGATAGATTCTAAAACTAATAAAAAAACTCTCTTATTAGAAACAAAAGAAAACTTTAGTAGTATTAACTCTTTTAAAAAAGCTCTTACTACTATCTATAAACTAGTAAATTAAGAAAAGACAGTAGTTAATAAGATAAATGCTCTAAAATAAGAAAAAATAACAGTCTACCACTATGCAGCTTGCTTCCGCAAACAACTAGCTATTAGTAAATAGACAAACTAACAAGCTATAAGTAGAATGTTCTACAATAAGCTAAATAACACAGTTAAAGATAAATTTACATATAACGTACTTCATAGGCAAGTTGCTCACACACCTAAGTTGCTTACTTTTGCTAAGACCCCACTAAACTACCCTTCCTACACTAATGCATTCCCCACAACACTACTTAGACGCGCTAAAAGAATGTTAGATACAGCTTACACTCTAAGCTTTTAAATAAAACATAAAACTCTTAAAGAAATGTGCTATAGCTATGTGTAAAGTCTTATAAAAAATAATAAATAACTACAGCGCTAGATAACCTTTATAAGCTAATTCTACAGCTAAATTATAAAGGCTAGGTAATAAAAAGAAGCAGGTAATTGTTAAGACTATACTTAAGCTATATGCGCAAGGAATTTCCCCTTAAATAGCATTTATAGCTAATATAGCTAATTCTTTGCGCGCTAAGTATAATCTAGGCTATGTTTGCATAAACTAGCCTAGTACGTTTGTAAAGCGTTATTTAGAGCTTAAAGTAACATTTAAGCGTAAGTACAACTATAAGAGAGCCTTCTATAAGAGTCCTAGGGTAATTTAGGGCAAGTTTAGCCTTGTAGAGAATATTAAAGCTAAGTATAGCATTTAGGATAATAACACGTACAACTTTAGCAAGACAGGGTTTATAATTAGCTAGATATCTTTTAACTATACTTGCGCTTAAAACTTTACTTTAAGCTCTAAATAACACTTTATAAACATACTAGGCTAGTTTATACAAACATAGCCTAGATTACACTTAGCGCGCAAAGAATTAGCTATATTAGCTATAAATGCTATCTAAGGGGAAATTCCTTGTGCATATAGCTTAAGTATAGTCTTAATAATTACCTGCTTTTTTTTATTACCTAGCTTTTGTAATTTAGCTGTAGAATTAGCTTATAAAGGTTATCTAGTGCTGTAGTTATTTTTTGTTTTTTATAAGACTTTGTACATAGCTATAGCATATTTCTTTAAGAGTTTTATGTCTTATTTAAAAGCTTAGAGCATAAGCTGTATCTAACATTCTTTTAGCGCGTCTAAGTAGTGTTATAGGGAATGCATTAGTGTAGGAAGGGTGGTTTAGTAGGGTCTTAGTAAAAGTAAGCAACTTAGGTGTGTAAGCAACTTGCCTATGAAGTACGTTAATAAAAAACTAGAGACCTTAGAAAAATTTATTAATTAAGCAATAACTTATAACAAAAGACATATAAAATGTTAAAAAGAAAAGAAAAGAAGCATAACAACATAAAAGCCTAAATAGACACCTAAGAAAAAGAAGGCCTCCTAATATAATAGAGAGCTAATAGACCTTAGTTATGTAAAACATACAGATAATACTTCTAAGAAACAAATAATACTTCTAAGAAAAAGAGCAGAAGTCTTTTTAAAGGTAACAGACTACCTCTAAGCAAGGAACAAAGGAAATAGCTTAAGGAAAAAGCCTGTCTAAACTATAAAAAAGTAGGCCACTTCTATTAAAAATGTCTAGACTCTAGGAACTTAGAGAATAAAAATAAAAGACTAGCTATAAAAGTTATAAGAGTAAAATAAAAGCTAATGTTAGAAGAAATTTATAACAGACTTAACAAACAACTTTGCTAGAAATGCAAAGCTAACTATAAACTACTAAACTGTTCTAGGAATTACTAGGAGGTGGAAGTGTAGGATAACTAGAAAGTCCTCTAAGCAATTAAACAAGCTGCTGTTCTTAAGAGATAGCGCAACTTAACAAAAGTAGTAAACTATGTTAAAAACGTAAAATAAAAAAAGACTAATTCCCCTTAGAACAAGTAATAACAGGCATACCTATAGAAAGGCTAGCCTACTAGTTTTATTATAACATGCATGGCAAGCGAGCAGCGCAGGCAAGCGAGCGGCGCACCCCATCAACTTTCGCACCCGCTCTAAACGCGTCCGACGACAACTCCACGCCACAACACTTAAATAGCTTTAAAGGAAGCAGATGTTTAGCTTGCTATCTTTTTAATTAATACTAGCTAGATCTAAAGCAACTAAGCTGCTGCAGCAGTCTATAATGTACCTGAAACAACGCTCTGCCGCTGACGCTCTAGGAGACCTGCGCGACGTGATTGCTAGCCTAACTTAAAGAAGCTTACTTAGCTAGAAAAGGAGGTAATTATTTGTTATATACTTAATCTAGACCTAGGTGGCTTTTCCCCTACCTACTTAGCAATTTGCGATATAGCAGATAAGCTGCTAGCTGCGCGCGGCGCAGGCTAGATTAGATAGAAGTGGCCAGCTAACTTTGTTAGGCGTATAGGCTCTCTTAAGACGTGTTTTAACTAAGCCTATAATAAACAAAGAGCTCTTAATAAGGATCTAACCCTAATTAGCGCCTAGTTTAAGCTTGTAGAGTAGACTAAGGCTAAGTACAGCATCTATAATAAAGATGTCTATAACTTTAACAAGGCTAGCTTTATAAAAAGTAAGATTATAACTTAGCTTATTATTATAGAGTTAGAGAGAAGAGGCTAGCTAAAGGCTGTCTAGCCTAGGAACTGCAAGTAAGTAACACTTGTCTAAGCAATTAACGCTACTAGCTAGGCTATCCTACTATTTATCATCTTTGCTGGCTAGCACTACCTATCTGCTTAGTACAAGGAGGATATCCTATGTAACTAGGCTATATCTCTTAGCAACAACAGCTAGACAATAAACAAGCTTAGAGTTAAGTAGCTAAAGCACTTTATTAAGCATACAGAGACCTAGATTGTTAGCGCGCGTAGGCTGCTTATTCTTAATAGCTATGCAAGCTACTACTTTCTTAAATTTTAACAGCTCTGTAAGAAGAACAACATCTACACGCTCTGCATGCTGCCTTACTCCTTACATCTACTATAACTACTTAATGTAGGCTGCTTCTTGCTGTTAAAGTGCGCGTATAGCTAAAAGATTAAGGCTTTAATTTATAACTTTATTAAATATATTATAAAGCTTAAATTCCTCTGCTAGCCTTTAAAACAGCTTTTAAGCAATTATTTACATTAGCTAATATCTACTTAGCTTTTTAAGGCGTAGGCCTTGTTCCTTTTTAGCCTAAAGCTGTTCTATTAAAGCTAGACGTGCAGCTTTGTACACCTTTACCACCTACTCTACTAGAAGCTCTCTAGGAAGCTAAAACACTAAGCAATGTACATAAGCTTAAGGCTTAATTAACTTTTATCTATAAGCGCGTTTAACAGCATAAGAGCTTTTTACCTACCTTTATTATTTAGGTAATTAATTAACTTAAGAAGAGTGCTAAAGTAATAATGCTTTTAGTTAAGCTTAGCGCGTAAAGAATTAGCTATATTAGCTATAAATGCTATTTAAGGGGAAAATCCTTGCGTATATAGCTTAAGTATAGTTTTAATAATTACTTACTCTTTATTATTACTTAGCCTCTATAAGTTAGCTATAGAATTAGCTTATAAAAGTTGTCTAGCACTGTTGTTATTTATTATCTTTTAAAAGACTTTATATATAGCTACAGCATGTTTCTTTAAGAGTTTTATGTCTTATTTAAAAGCTTAAAGTATAAGCTGTATCTAACGTTCTTTTAGCGTGTTTAAGTAGTGTTATTAGGAATGCATTAGTATAGAAAAAGTAGTTTAGTAGAGTCTTAGCAAAAGTAAGTAACTTAGGTGTGTAAGCAACTCGCCTGTGAAGTACGTTACTAGAAAAATAGTAATTACTATAGCAATTACTAGGCGCTTCTAGTAATAGTAATTACTATTACTAAAAAGTAGCAACTCTACACTAAACTATATAGTATTGCATGCTATTCTAAGCAGTTATCAAGCAGGAGCAGGTTAAAATAATGTAGCGCAGTGGTGACATGTAACTGCAAGCGGATGGCAGCACTAAGTACAGTCATCTGACTAGCAGTTAAGCCTGTGCGGTCTCTGCAATCTCTTATAGCACCCTCTGCAAACCTGCTGTAACGATTCTCATGAATCGTTCCATCTCGGGTGGCCCGGAACCTATCCGAAGGGTCCCCGTATCGGCTCCGACCCTGACTCGATTCTCATGAATCGTATCCATCTCGGGTCGCCCGGAATCTATCTGAAGGGACCCCGTATTGGCCCTGACTCTGCCCTGCCCCTGCTGTACCCCTATTCCCTCATGTATTTAGTCGCACCTCGCCCCCGTAGCTAGCTCAGTAGTTTTCTGATATCCTTTTGTACAAGGCCTATAGGTGTCAATGTGTGAAGCTATGTGAGGCACCAGAGACATGAGGAACTGCATTGAATGTATTGCTAGAGGAGTCCTTTGTAGGAGTCTATATACATGCGAAATGAGTGGGTGAGTCTTGGCAACAGATCATGGTGACGACGCATACGACTATGATGACGACGCATCCGATCATGGTGACGACGCATGCGACCATGGTGACGACGCATATGACTATCGTGTGATTACTGCAAACACAATGGCATTCCCAGGTTCAGAGTCCCCACGCACTCCCATATGCCTCTGAGTGGATTCCCACCGCATTCGGACCCATTGTCTTGCCTGTGCCGTTACACCTGCAGCTCGACACCTAGATGTCGCTGCAAGACTGCACTAAACTATATAGTATTACATTCTATTCTAAGCAATTATCAAGCAGAATACGCTAAAATAATATAGCGTAGTAGTAAACTATTGCTGCAAGCTGATGGCAGCATAACTAGCAGTTAAGCCTACGCAGTCTTAGCGATCTCTTGCAGCACTCTCTGCAACACTTGCAGCTTAACGTCTAGATGTCGCTGCAAGGCTACACTAAACTATATAGTATTGCATGCTATTCTAAGCAATTATTAAGCAGCAGCAGGTTAAAATAATATAGCGTGGTAATAAAATGTCGCTGTAAGCTGGTGAGAACAGGTTCTTGCAGGCATATTAGTTAGCAGAGACTCTATTAGGCTTAGCGTTTCCCTAGTCTAGCTTAGCCCCTTCCTAGTCTAGTTTAGCGCTACATTATGCTAAAGTTTATACGAATTTTAATGTTAGGTAACGTTTAAATACAGTAATTTTTTTAAGCTAAGGCATTTTCTTTCCTAGAACAACGACAGAGAAGCTAGCCTAGGGAATTGATTATAGATTTCACTCGCTAACGCTTATAAAATAATAGGCCTTAATGTAAAGTTACGCACTCTATTACTACTACTCTTTATACAAAACAAGCTCTAGTAGTTGTAAACTCTAAGCAATACTTTAGAACTTAAGTGTTACAGTCTATGGTTGGACCGACGTAACTCCACCCAAGGTGCTCCACAATCTAGCTAGGTTGGGGCAGGGCTTGTCTATGGACCAATTGGAGGAGAAGGAGTCATCACAATTGCCTGCGATTACAGAGGAGTGCATCATCTAATAATAAGGCAAGCCAGAAGGATGGAACAAGTCTAAGAGAGCTAATAGAGTCGCACTTAGTAGACTTACATAAACTTGCTTAACTCGTTCTAGGCACTATTAGACATGTATATAGTCCTAACCTTAAGCAACCTTTAGGAGGTGTGTTTAACATTTAGTTTATTTTTTATATAGACTAAGTAGCATTTTAGTTTTTTTAAAGAGCTATAATACTATTTGTATATCTTGCAACATATATACCTCTAATTCTGTCCAACAGGACTGTTTAACCTGGCCACTATACTGCCGCCATAGGGACAAACCACGATCTGGTCGCTCTACCCTACTCTATTAGCCCACTAGCCATTACGTAGGACTGTACACCCTGCCGTCGGCCCCTCTCCCTCCGTCCTATCTCACCAGGAATAGCATTGACCCGAGTGCTTCCACGAAGCAAGGATTGTAACATTAAGTTATAATTAATGCTTATAAAAATAAAGATTTAAAAGTATATAAATAGTTTACTAACTTCTATAGTTAAGGTGCTTAAGAAGGTTTTAAAGAGAGTAGTAATAATTATATATAAGCTAGTGTTAGTATAATAGAAAATTACTAAGCTTTAAACAGCTAATAAGGCAGCTATATAACATAAATTACCTAAAAAAGTAGATTAAGGTAGAAGAAGCCTTAATAGTTTAAAAAGGCCTGTGCTTAACAGCTCTAAAGGAGTTTAAAGCGCGTAGTAACAAGAAGAAGGTAAAGAAGCAGGTGTAAGCTAAAGTAAGTAAGCTAATCTAAAGGCGCTGCAGATAGTGTAATTTGACTAGGCATAACGCGAAAACGTGTAAGCAAGAAGTAGAGGTAGTCTTTAAATAATATTCTAGGCTATACTATACTATATAGTGCTAGAGTGGGTAGTTATAGGCTATAATAGAGTTTTTTATAGTATAGTCCTAGCAAAAGTAAGCGACTTAGGTGTGTAAGCAACTTGTTTATAGTGTATGTTATAGATTTTTTTTTCTTTTCTAGTTAGCTTTACATGCTATCTTTTAAGTATTTTACTTAATCTATTCTATAAGCTAACATTACTTACTAAGTCTTACAATCACCTGCTAAGCTTATATACATATGCTATATCTATTCTAGAGCATTACGTAACGTGACCTCTATAGTCTATGCCTTTACTAGCCTTAGTCTGTTCTTCTTTTGTAGAGTTAGAGACCTACATGTTTCTCTAGCCTACTAGTAGTTGTAACATCTACTCTCTTCTCTCTAGGCTTTAACTTAAAGCCTATAGTCTAAGTAAACTCTATGTACTACCTTTCTAGAGTATAAATACCTTTGCTTTTTAAGTTACATTATACACTTCTTTTTCTCTCTTTTCCTACTAATAGCAAAGACAGCGCACGCTCTTTATTACTACTGCTTCTGCTATACTGTCTAACTATCTTCTTTAGATTATAAGATAATCGCTTTCTATAATCTTAAAAAGAGTAGAGTGTATAGTTTCTTTATTTTTATTTTCTTTCTACATCTATTGTAACTAAAAGAGGTTGCATTACAACTTCTTTATTTCTAAAGTAAAGTAGGATTAGCTTTAGAGTAATAAAAAAAGACTTCTAAACTAACTAAAAAATACCTAATTAACGTTGCTTTGTGTAGAGAAGAAAGAGGTAGTGTTAGCAGCTTAGCAAGCTTAAATAGCTGCTAAAAAAAGCCTGTCTTCTTACTTAGATTGTTTTAGTAAAGAAGCGCGTTAACCTTTTAGAGAAGCGTTGCGCTGCATACTTAAAAAGTAATAAGAAGGTAATTAAAACACTTAAGGCTTGTAAATAAGAAAAGAAAGGTTCTATAAACAACACTTCTAACAACATTTCTAGCCTAGCTTGTTCTTGTCTTTTAACTTTACAATTATTGTATAACGTACTTTATAGGCGAGTTGCTCACACACCTAAGTTGCTTACTTTTGCTAAGACCCTACTAAACTACCTTTCCTACACTAATGCATTCCCCACAACACTACTTAGACGCGCTAAAAGAATGTTAGATACAGCTTACACTCTAAGCTTTTAAATAAGACATAAAACTTTTAAAGAAATGTGCTATAGCTATGTGTAAAGTCTTATAAAAAATAATAAATAACTACAGCACTAGATAACCTTTACAAGCTAATTCTACAGCTAAATTATAAAGGCTAAGTAATAAAAAAAAGCAGGTAATTATTAAGACTATACTTAAGCTATATGCGCAAGGAATTTCCCCTTAAATAGCATTTATAGCTAATATAGCTAATTCTTTGCGCGCTAAGCATAATCTAGGCTATGTTTGCATAAACTAGCCTAGTATGTTTGTAAAGTGTTATTTAGAGCTTAAAGTAATGTTTAAGCGTAAGTATAACTATAAGAGAGCTTTTTGTAAGAGTTCTAGGGTAATTTAGAGCAGGTTTAGCCTTGTAGAGAATATTAAAGCTAAGTATAGCATTTAGAATAATAACACATACAACTTTAGTAAGATAGGGTTTATAATTAGCTAGATATCTCTTAACTATACTTACACTTAAAACTTTACTTTAAGCTCTAAATAACACTTTATAAACGTACTAGGCTAGTTTATGCAAATATAGCCTAGATTATGCTTAGCGCGTAAAGAATTAGCTATATTAGCTATAAATGCTATCTATAGGGAAATTCCTTACGCATATAGCTTAAGTATAGTCTTAATAATTACCTGCTTTTTTTTATTGCCTAGCTTCTATAATTTAGCTGTAGAATTAGCTTATAAAGGTTATTTAGTGCTGTAGTTATTTATTATCTTTTACAGGACTTTACATATAGCTATAGCACATTTCTTTAAGAGTTTTATGTCTTATTTAAAAGCTTAAAGCGTAAGCTGTATCTAATGTTCTTTTAGCGCGTCTAAGTAGTGTTGTAGGGAATGCATTAGTGTAGGAAGAGTGGTTTAGTAGGGTCTTAGCAAAAGTAAGCAACTCAGGTGTGTGAGCAACTCGCCTATAAAGTATGTTACACAACTTTTAATTTTAGTTTTTTAAAACTTAGAACGCTTTTTTAAGAGTTTCTTTAAGCTTTTAAGTGTTATTTAAAGAAAAGTACTTTATTTACTTTATAAAGTATTTTATTTATTTTTTAGTTCTTTTTTTTAACTACTGCCTTTACTTTGTGCTTCTTATTTTAGACTTATTCCAGGTCTTTAAGTATAAACTAGCCGTGAAAATGTTAAAGAGCCTAGACGAAAAGTCAAGTTTGTAGTTCTTGAGGAGAAGATTCATCACGGGTTGATTGAATATGGGATCCATGGTGTTCTGCGTCCAAGAAGAGATAGAGTACTTAAAGGAAACAGGAATGTGGTCGGGGCGTATCAGGACGGAGAGGTGGAGAATAAGGCATGTGAGAGGCGGACAGCCCGATGGGAATCCTTTGTCGCGAGCGAGAATGGCAGCAGAAATGGCCAGTCCGCACCTACTGAAATACCGGAAACAACGAAGCCGTAATCTAGGTTTGCGCCAAGAAGGGGGTATTAGTTGCAACCTAGAAGAAATAGTTGTGAGAATCACTGCAGCGCACCTGAAGTCTCACTTACCCATTAGAGTGCATCTCAACAGTCATTTGGTGCTGCAGGGAAAGGGCGTTCCGGGGCGAGGCTGTAATCAAAACGACGCAAGCACAACCGAGTTTGACACATAGTTGTGTGGAACGTCTGGGCTCTCTTCTTCAAGCGCTCTAAGGCACTACCCTCTCCGCGAATTATGATGAGTGGGCAATCGCTACTACGTCCATCGCCGGCGTTTTCCACGGTAGGTATATATAGTCGGGGTGGAATGGCGTGGCCCATCACGCATGGGAATAGGAAGTTGCTGTTCAGGGGCCTTTAAGGCCTAGCGGCGCTGGATGTCGATATTTCTACTCTTCAATTGTTACACGCAGAAGAGGTACCTCAGTGACACGTGATCCGGATTCGATTTCACCCCTCGTGAGAGCATGTAAGAAACTAGAACAAGTTTTTAAGGGGTGTTTAAATAGAGCCATTGCAAATTTTGGATTCATTTGACACATTTCAATGTGCTCGACTGTGAATTTGAGGTAGCCCATCGAGCTCGCAATGCATTCCATTTTGAAACTTGTAATAGAAACGAATGACAGGGTGGATCCACGCTTTCAGCTCAGATACAGAGAACCAACGATTGGTTGGTGTGATTGTTCTTCCCGGCTAAATAATTTAAGGGCCTTTTATGATGTTCGTTGCGATGCCAAGATTGACCTAGAGTTCTCTAAAATTGGACACGGGCGCGGAATAGAGGCTGCCTGATAATATGGGAAGTGTAAGGCTAAGCATGGGTCTCCGCTATCAGGAGAATATAAATACCACAAACTCCTATACGGAGTGGAGAGCCGGGTTTTCACCGAGCGTAGATATGAAAATGAGTAGGAGACCCCGCTCTCCCGCTTTGTCGAGTAGGTCTCTATCATTGTGGTGTTAGTAAATCCACGAAGGTATGTAGGCTAGAATAAAACAAGATCTTCAGGTGCAGAACGTCAATTCCAGACTTGCCTTTAGCTCTGACTCAGCCCTGGACGAATGGTAAGTCTCTCACTCTATCTTCCCCTCCTTCTTAAACCCGATCTCCATTAAAAAAGACAGCCTCATCATTATTGGCACGTACAACATCGCTAGATTCAATGCATCCCCTGCTCTCCAAAGTGTCGGATCTAGGAAGACCTGTGGGCCCATCACACTCCAGCTTCCATACAGATGTATGAGATCACAGAGTAACATTCCGAATACCATTGCCTTCCACACTTTTAAGTCTTTAGTTATACGGAGTACGACAGCCTCGTTGAAAGCGAACAGGGTGTACGTAGCCGAGAGCTGATCGAATATGACTTGGTGCGAGGGAGCGAAGACAGCTTTTGCGGTCATTGTATCCAGGAAGAGGACCGGGTTGAAGTGGCAGAGAATTGCGCCGTTCAAAGCGGCGAGGGGTTCGAACCAGAGCAGGAGGATACGGTAAGGGAGGGGGATGTGTGGCAGTCGGGGAGCCATGGTGTGGCGGCGATTAGGGATTTGAGGTTTTTTTTTTTGAGGGACAGTCATTCATTGAAAGGGAGCAATAGCAAGTCGTACCTAGATACGATGAACAATCTGACAGAATGGCCGAGTAGGGGGTGCAAGTGCTGAATTGCGCTGGTGGTTGATGATGGAATAAGCAGAAGACGCAAAGTGCGGCAAGAGAACAGTGGCAGTGGGCGGCCTTTCGCCCAGACACTATTTCAGTGTTTCAAGAAGACTACAGATCCGTACATAGCAAATAACTGGCCTTGTAATTCAATGCTAGAACTAGAGAGTCCTCAAAACCTGTGAGGTTCATTCCAATTGGTGTAGGGTGCTCGCAATTCGTATTTGCAATCCTGGAGCGGGTTGGGGGCAGCAGCTCAAGGAGATACCTAAAAGAATTGCCGAGGATTTACCGTATTTTATCAGCTGACGCTCGGCCCCACCTGACGCACACCCCACCACACACAACTACTCCCCTCATTTTCATAACTACTACAGCTATAAGCATGAAATTTTAAATATAAGGAATTATATATATATTAAGCTAAAATATAGTGAAAATTTTTTATATAATAGCTTTAATTTTATAATATATAATATATAAATTTTTTACTTAAAAAGCTTTATATTTAAATAAAATAGATATTAATAATATAAAATATAGATATTTACTTTTTAATACTTTTATTATATGTATGTAAAAGTATTTATGTAGGAATTATATTAATATAAAAGCTATTTACTATATAATAATACTTTAAAATATTAGATATTTTTTAAAATATATACAATTATATACGTAACTAAAACCTTATTATTATATAAAAAACTTATTATAACGTACTTCATAGGCGAGTTGCTCACACACCTAAGTCGCTTACTTTTGCCAAGACCCCACTAAACCACTCTTCCTACACTAATGCATTCCCCACAACACTACTTAAACGCGCTAAAAGAATGTTAGATACAGCTTACGCTCTAAGCTTTTAAATAAGACATAAAACTCTTAAAGAAATGTGCTATAGCTATGTGTAGAGTCCTATAAAAGACAATAAATAACTACAGCGCTAGACAACCTTTACAAGCTAATTCTACAGCTAAATTACAAAGGCTAGGTAATAAAAAGGAGTAGGTAATTGTTAAGACTATACTTAAGCTATATGCGCGAGGAATTTCCCCTTAGATAGCATTTATAGCTAATATAGCTAATTCTTTGCGCGCTAAGCGTAATCTAGGCTATGTTCGCATAAACTAGCCTAGTATGTTTGTAAAGTGTTATTTAGAGCTTAAAGTAAAGTTTTAAGCGTAAGTATAGTTAAGAGATATCTAGCTAATTATAAACTTTATCTTGCTAAACTTGTACATGTTATTATCCTAGATGCTAT